ACCCACCCCCAAACTCTGCCCTTTGTCTGTAATTTCCAAGTGGCACCTCTGGGGCTGAAAAATGGAGTCAACACGGACGTGCTAAAAACTGCAGTTTCTTCAACGGCCACTTGAGGCTGGCTCCAGAACGAGTCAATCCTCACAGAACCCCATGTTAAAATATTCAGCTTCACAGCAGAATAAACATGTTTATGGCCTGGTACAAAAAAGGGGTCTCTATAGCTAATTTCCCACTTCATGACAACTTTTTATATAACTCACCCGTTTACATTTTATTAAGGCTTAAGGTTAAAGTGCATGTTATGAGTGTGGCCATTTTTAAATGACAGACTGTCTGCTGATAGTGTTCTTAACTTCTCAGTCAGATCCACTCCTCGCTCCTCAACAGCTCCATCCTCTCATTAATTAAGGCCACTCCTTGCTCCAAAAAAACCAAGATGGTGACGGCTGAAATACTGAACTCATGGCTTCAAAAGGCCCGTTTCCGCCAAGTGAACAAAGCTGAGGTTGACTTTCACTTTCGCTGGTGATACTGTCTACAAACAGTTACTGACAATTCCAGCATAGTATACCTTCAATAATACTGAGCCAAAAGTGTTTAAAATAAAACCTGTATCAACCACTGGCATCTTGTGCACTTGTTTACAGTGCAGCCAAACAAACTGTGGGCTGAAAGGAATCCCTGCCTCATGTTGTTTTAATAGAAAGGACCATCAATGATAAGGTCAGAGACAACAGCACTGTGTGTGGTCGTGCAACTGAATCCCTCGCTGGAAAGGCAGACTGTGGAAGTAACAATGTAAAAAACTAGACAGGCAGTTATAGGATGTAAATTTGTGCTACATGCTAAAAAATCAGACCATGAAACATATTTAAAAAAGGTTTGATAATAAAAGGATTATTATATCAAGTTGATTTTGCAAATACTTATTTCCTTAACTTAAATTTGATTCTGAAATCCTACTAAGTAAAGACTGCGCACACATGCATATGTAGCAGTTTGCTGAAACCACTGAGACACACACACACACACACTGAGACACACACATGGAGGATCGCACTTAAAAGAGAAACGGGAGCTGACAAGACGGTTTTGATTATTTGCGACGTGAGAGGAGGGATGTCACCTGGGAAGTGTGTTACGGCTGGGAAATCTGGAAACAGTAAAAAAAGAAGAGGAAAAAAAAACAGGGAACATCAGAGGTAGGCGGGTATGAAAGTTGGCTGGTGTGACCTCTGGCCTCCCTCCTTCTTGGCTGCTCCCTTTGAGCCGCTAAAAGGCGTGCGGTGTGAGAAGCCAGAAGACAGCTGCACCCCCCCTTCTCCTCCTCTGGGCTCTCTCTGGGAAACTGAGGTCCCCTTTCTCAACTCACTTTAAATGCTGTGGGGTCAGGAGGAGCCGGGGCCCAGTTGAGGTGGTCCAGCCGGGGATAGAGTTTCACTGCTTTACACGGCCAGTCTGGACTGTTTTGTGTGTGTGTGTGTGTGTGTAAGAGAGAGAGTGAAAGAAAAGGGAGCTGCTGTTGTCTCTCTATTAGAACTGCAAATAAAGAGGAAACTTTCACTAATGATCACAAACACCCTCCGTCTGCCACTGCAATCCTCCACAAACTTCTCATCCCACGCAAATACACATATTTACATATCACAGTCTGTGCATATACACACATGGTCAGCTACTGTTGCTGTAAGGACAGGAGAGAAAAACTTCAACACGCAAGTCTGTCGTGACTACCACAGTAAATCCGGTGACATTTCACAAAAAGCTCACTTTTTTTTTAATCAGATGTTCACATGAATAGATGACAAAAGAACTTTCGTTTTACGGAGCACTGTCAGACGTCCCTGATCACATATTAAGAAACAGAGATTAGCTTTGACTTGTTAAGTGATCCCTAATCGTCATATTTTGCTGCTTGGAAGGAAGCCCCAGGCATCACTAAAATGATGCCGAGGGCAACCTATTGCATTGTATCTTGACGCAGAAGGGGTCGATGCATGGTAAAAAGCAGTCGGCGGTTAGGTTTAGGGAGCAAAAGCACTTGTTTATGATCATGAAAAGATTGCAGATGTTACTAAAACAGACCTGTCTTTGAGTGGCACAAATGCTGCAACCAATGTTTGAGCCCAATTGCACTCCGAAGTCATTGAAATCTGACGCTTGGGCAGTGACTTGCAGTGTCAGAAACCAATGAAAAAAGGCATCCTTTAAAGTTGGCATGATAAGCCGCCGGTTGCCATTATAGTTTAATGGTGCCCGGCGTCAGGGGGAAACGCAGTGGGACATGGACGAAAGTTAAGGTGGCGAAAGTCTGGCTGTGCCGGCAGGACTTTCACCCGAGAGAGCGGTATTCGCATCCTGTAAGATTATAAAGCCAAACCCTGTTCTTTTTTCCTAAACCCAACCACATGTTTTTGTTGCCTAAACCCAACCCCGTACATTAACACAGTGTCCCAGAACATCACCAACCAACACAGGTGGTACCTTTCACGTTGTGGATGTGGATGTAAAAAGTCCATGACCAAACGTGAATATGTGATGAGGTCGGAGAGAGAATGTGTTGGATGTTTTTTCTATGATGGTCCCAAAAGTCCAGGAGTCAAAGTCCTGTGTTTGTTGAACCGACCGACCCTGAACGGACTTTCATGCTCTTTAAAATACATCCGTTGCTTTTACATTGGAGTTGGTGGAGAGCCTGGTGCATCTCACACAGATGCTAAACACTACCAAACTCTCGTATTTTGACACCATGGGAGTAAGACTAGACTAGACATGTGAATGTGGATTCAAGGCTTTAGCCATCATTTCTATTGATTATTGAGAACAAAGCACTGCGCGAGTTAATTGCTGAAATCTGTGATCCGTGAATGCAACCACATCTGTAAAGAAATCCCAGGCAGAAACACAGGCTTTCAGGCCGTCAGATTAGGTTGTAAACAGGCCAACAGATTGTGTAAACCACTTAATTACAATGTATGTACAACAGGTCAAAGGACCAGGAAACTACTGAATTAACTGTGATGGATGACGGACGTTTCTGAGAATAATTTGGATGATAATTTAACCCAGATCAAGATCAAGCTGACATGGATGAGAAGTCCTTTAGATGCCCAGAAAAATGGAAATTCCACCATCTGTGGAACATCTGAGGGATATTCTGTGATGTGAGCTGAAGCTCCGGAGCAGCTACTAAATTGTTGTTAAATAATGTTACCATTAACCTTCATTTCCTCTGCCTAATAGGTTTGACTAACCTGGATGTTTGTTTAAACCTGTATAATCATCTGACTTTGTTTAGCCCTCCGTTGGACTACTTGACAGTGGTGTTGATGCATTCCCAGATTTTCCCAGATCGTTACCAATAGAAACAACGGCCAAAACTACAAAAATAAACTGGAATTATCCTCGGATGCCTTGCCAGAGTGAGAGAAACCCAGGAAGAGGAGACTGATCCATATTGGACTCCCCCTTTGTCTCGAAGTTCAATCATGCATTGGGATTCACAGTGATTAGAAGTCCGGCACCAACCTTCATCGACCAGGAGCTCGGGGCCTCGTGCTCAATACTCTTTGTCTGTCCAGCAGGCCGTGAGTTAATGTGCTGTAGAACTGAGGTAGAGGAGAGGCCTGCATCAGATTGATCTGCTGCATCTCAGCGGACCACAGGAAGCAAGCAAACACTTCTGTGCTGTAAATTACGCCTCTTTATCCACCATGCTCAAGTCTCAGGTACACTGCCTACACACACACACACACACACATACACACACACACACACACACACGGTCTGTTTCCCATCACTCCAGAGGACACTGACTTACATTCATTTCCTGGAGACTTACCTTAACCCTTACTCTAACCTTGAAGGCCCAGTGTGTCAGATTTAGGGGGATATTTTGGCAGAAATGGAATACAATAAAGTAAGTATGTTTTCTGTAGTGCATAATCACCTGGAAATAAGAACCATTGTGTTTTTGTTGCTTTAGAATGAGTCACATAAGGAGTGAGTCCATGTCTACAGAGATTGCTATGTTGCCTGCATGTTTCTACTGTAGCTCAGAACAAACGATTTCGCTTTCGATTTCGAACAAACGCTTTCGATCGGGCTATCCTTGTTTTCTTATTGGCCACTATAGTTAGCAGCCCCTTTGTGATGAGCAGTGTCAAAGAAACACAGGTTTTTTTTGACATGACACTGCTTTATTCAGTATTTTTACTAGTTTAAATGGCCAGGTATGTTTGTTTTGGAGAAGAGGAGATTTCTGCGGATAATTCAGCTACTGGTAAAAACCTCCTGAACGTCTGGATCTTAAGTTATTTAAGAAAACAGGTGGGCACACACTAGTAGGTAGTGGAAAAGTGCCCATCTCCAAAATAAAGAAAAACACAAATTTGTATTGTGAAACTGCTTAATTCAGTGTTTTAACCTATTTTAATCACCTTGTCCATTTTGGAGGAGACCTCTGCGATAATTTGACTCGCAGTAAAAACCTCCTGAACAATACTGAAGGAATCCTAACTGGGAGAAGTTTCAGCTGGTTGCAATACGCAATCCTCACCACTAGGTGCCACTAAATCCCCCTAAATCTTACACAGTGTTGCTGTAACCCAAGTCTTTGCCATAAAATTCAATGATACACGTCAGTGGTTGCCAACTGGGAATCCAGATTTCTCTTTTGTCATTAGTTAAAGGTCACAGAGTTTAATAATTTTAGCGTCGTACTTGCATTTAGTCATGTCATCCCGCTAGCTTGCTGTCTCTTTCAAGGAGCTGTACGTTAGTCACTCACTCTGCAGCAGGGAACAGCACTTCAAAATAAAAGCAGTTTGGAACCACCGATTTACGTTAAGGGGACTTGTGTTTTGTCCCCAAAGGAAGGCGAATCCCCCCTCACGCACACGCACACACACATGCACACATACACACACACACACACACACACACACACACACACACACACACACACACACGCACACACAGAATAAAGACAGTCTCTGGGTTCATTACTTCTAGATCTAGTTTATTATCACTGTTATTGTTTTTTTCTTCAGTTTTGCACAATGAACCCTAAAACAATACAAACCACTAAAAATGGTCTATTTTGCCTTTTCACACACACATACATACACACATACAGTACACACTGTATATGTGGATATGTATACAGATTTACACCTTGGTCTAGAGAGAGTGTAGAAACATAACTTTGTGGAAACATACAGCAGTGATCCCTGACAATGCTCTGAGAACGCTTATTAAATCATCTCATATTGACCTGAATTAAACTGTGGGAGAAGACAGAGTACGAGCAGATGGAGGCAGTGACCTCAGCAGACGAACATATAACAAGACAGAAAGACAGACAGACAGACACTGACAGATAGATGTGTGATCGTGAGCTGGCTGTACAGATTTGCGCTCCCTTTGTTCCAAATGGTCGATCGGCTAATCGAACGCAGGTAACGCAACAATTGAGGCTTGTTTTGTGACATTAAACAAGTAGTTTACGCAGCTGGTAATGCATATGGTTTTTGGTTTCAGGTTAGCACCACATTTGAACCCTGTAGGATTTAAAAATAAAAATAAAACTGCATAGATAAAATAGAAGTTCTACTCGTTTTTAATAAACTGTAGTATCAGTAAAAGCAACTCTAATGAGGTGAGAATAAAATGGCTGTCAGACCTTCTCTTGCCATTTGTTGTGGTCGCATATTGTACTGGGGAAAAAAAACTGCAATTCTTTGAGCATAAAAGCCAAGATTACTGTCCTCATTGTATCTGCTTCACCAGGACTTACAGTGAGAATCTACAGTGGTTTTTGCAATATATTAATCTGTATGAAAATGAATGGTAAACATAAAAAAACAGCCTGATTTTGCTGGTGGAATCCTGGTTGATGCCAATAAAGTTAAAAACGGAGTCAACACACAGACCACAATGCTTTTTTAACCCCATGTCCACCAAAGTAAGAACAAATTTGGTGATTTCTGTATTTGTGTTTTTGACTTTGCTCCCATAATTGGTTTGAAGGATGCATGGCTGAGTTGGTAAAAACTGATGTCATGTACATCTGCGCACGAATCTGGATTTAGCATGTAGTGATATAATAGAGACACGTGTCACACTCTTCAAACCAAACCCATCATTGGGGAAAACAATCACCTCCACAATATGCAACCAAGCACTGAAACGATTTCAGCAAGTCAAAGGATCGTTTAAGCATCCTATGTCTAGTCAGTAACGGTATCTTATCTTAGTGTCCCTTCTCCTTAATTTTCAATTCAATTCAATTTTATTTATAAAGCCCAATATCACAAATCACAATTTGCCTCAGAGGGCTTTACAGCATACGACATCTCTCTGTCCTTTGATAAAGAAAAACTCCCCCAAAAAACCCCAGTAACAGGGATGAATACCTTGCTAATCTTGGAGAAATGGTCCTGTTGAATGGCCAGAATCTAAATACTTTGATATTTACAACTATTTCATCAACTCAAGAGGTAAAATCATCGTTTAACCTAACAAAGTTCGAGACCAGGCATTACATTGCTAAGTTAGCTTCAACCTCCACAGTTTATCCAGTCAACTTAGCAAGATGCTCTCTGCAAATGCAACTGAGTTCCACAGTATCCACTACTGTCTTCTTAAAATTTCAGATTTTGGTTCAGCAGTTTGTAAAATCTTAGGTCTGGGTTCTTAGCGCTGTTGGTAGTGCATCCCACCACACAGCAGCTTTTAGGCATTTTCTGTTGTTTGCTAGCAGATGGTAGAAACATGGAGGTACGTTCATGCAATACAGTCAGTGAGCGGTGATTAATTGTTTCCCCTTTGGTGTGGGTGGGGCTAAATTGCTCTGTTTCTATAATGTTGTGGGGTGGTTTGGATTTACTGTCGATGAAATATATCCTGATGAAACAGATTAGCTAGTTAAACTCTCAATAAATGACTGATGTTATTATTATGTCTTTTTTTCTTCTGAATTTCAACCTCGTTGCCTCTTTAATCATGAATATCTAATGTTATAAAGCCAAACTTGGGCTTTGAAACCAAGCTTTTGGGGGCTTTAAACCTAGTAATGGAGATTAAACTTCACTTGTGGTCGACTTGCAAGTTTTACAGTTGTAGATTTAAAAAAAACAAATTCAATATTTCAAATTCAAATCCTTTTCATGGCCAACTGAATAAAATTTAGTTTTAATAAATAAAACAAATCACTCATCAGTTCTTCTAATTTGAACACAAGTAAAATTCTTGTTGCAAACCAGCAACACTGGGCAAGAGCAGGTCTAATATTCTTACACCTACATGGTTTCATATGGCAGCAATATATCAGAGTCGTTTTCCCTTTAAGATTAAATACTCTTTTGCCTGCAGTGGTGCAGGATCGAAGCTCAGACTGTGAATCACAAACATAAATGTGGCACTCTATACAGGAAGATTTTACAATGCATGTCTCTGTAAGAAGACTTAAACAATGATCTCTTTACTGACGTGCTGGTATTGACTTTGACGTTTGACGCTAATCTCGCAGGACAGGTGTGTGGGTTCGATCACCTGCCCAATAGACTCTACTCTTTTTCTATTTCAGTGGCCAAATTACTGATGACCGAGCAGCTTTAGATGGTGTTGACAACATCAATACAGAACAGACATTCTCCTCAAGCAACGATGGTTTGTGAAGGAAAATGAAGACAACTTGTCACTTTAAACGGTAACAGCGCTGACAGGACCTCACCCCGAGTCACTCATGTGAGGATGACTGGTGGGAACAGGATGAGGATGAGGTGATCATCAGGCATCAGCGAGGGCGAGACAGGTTTAGATTTGTCAGCGGAAAAAGGACACACGACCTGTTTTCATCAACAGACACCATCAAGACAGATTGACCGACAATGCGAGATGGGACCATCAGTAGTCACCATATTGAGATAACAACATTATTTTGCCATTATTCGGCTAAATATCACAGTGCTACCATCACAAGTCCAATAATGATTAACTAACACTTTTCATTTCAGCTTAAATAACACGTTAGCTTTTTCGTTTCTCATGCAGATCTACTGTAGGTTTCTCTCTGCCTACTACCGTTAAACACATTGGATTCAATCTGCTTTCTTGACAGAGGTATATAAAATATAATACTGATCTCAAACATTAAAGTACATTTACATTAAATCACCATTTGACAAGAGTATAAATCACTCAGAAAATCTTTAAACTCAGCATTATTTGACATGTACAGTCATCGGGGTCTCAGAGCAGAACACCATAGAGATAAATGCATCGGAAATGTAATCAATTCACAATCATATCGGATGATCATGTGGTGCCACAACGATCAATACCACATAATGTAAATGAGATTTCAAGCAGAGGCTAGTTGCATCAGGCTTTGGACTTTTAGAGAAACCAGAGTGAGAATATTTCAGGTTACCCAAAACATCCTCACCATTAAATCAACCATTGAGTTACAGCATCGTACTTAACAGACATTATACAGTGAGACAGTGTCAGTCTAATGTTGTCCTGACTGGATCTGGTTACCTGTGTTCAGTTAATGCATAAGACAGAGAACTGCACAGACACATAGTCTAAACAGCTGGAGCCATATACTGGCCATGAGAAACAAATCCTGCACATGCCCAGTTCAGGATGCCTTCTTTGTGAGAACCTGAGAACAAGTATGGATGAATGACAGCTGAGACCTGTTATTCTTTGTGTTTCATCAAATCATCAGCCCATTATTTTCTCTGTTAGTCAATTATTAGTTTGGTTTATGAAATATCAGAAAAATTACAAGTTTCTAAAGCTTAATATCACTTCTGTCAGGGCCCTTTCACACCTGCCTCATTTGATCTGGAGTTTTGGACTTTACAGTTTGATCTGAACCAAAGTTACAGATGTGAGACCTTTCCCTGGATCATGGTCTGGACAAAAACACACCTGTTGAAAAGAGGTGGTCAGGATCAAACTAGACAATGGTTTGGTTTGTTTCTGGTGTGAAAATCTTTGAACTGTTCAGACTTTAAGACCAATTAAAGGAAGTTTTGGCAGGCTATCGCATGTGATAGGAGTAGTGTAGTGCCTCCAGCGTAGTGTATGCGCATTAGGTGACAGAGAGAGTGACGGTGGCTGCGCTCAGAGCAGACAGGTGTTGGTTGTATGTATGGTGTGGGTGTCAGGTTGACCATGAACAACAGACACAACAAAATGAGTTGTGGTTGCACATGGGGAGAGGACGATACGACTTTATAGAGTCAGTTGGAAAAACTCAAAAAATTTTTAAACAGCTCATCACGACAATGACCTTGTAAGATATGCTTCCACTAAAGTTTGCTGAAGGTAAAGCTTCAGGAAGTTAATGGAATATGTTGAGCCTGAATACAATTTTTAGACTAGTCGACTAGTCTTAATGAAAATATTCGTTTAGTCGAGAGGGAAATTAGTCCCCAGGAACATCCCTAGCTCGTATAAACGCAGAGTGAATCCAAAACTGTCCGAATCAAATGTGTTCAATGTAGCAAAGACATGAACCTTGGTTTGGACCTTGGTTCAGACATTCAGGTGTGAAAAGGCCCTAAAATGTTTGTTTTGTTTCAAGCAGCAAATTCTCACAATTTCACAGTTAATTTTTGGCATTTTTGTGTTAAAAATCACCTAAATTGTTAATTATTTCTTCTGCTGATTGACTTACCAACTCACTGACTGCTTGTTTAAGCTCTTGGATGAATATCAACATAAATTAGGAACTACAGATGGTTTTAAGTTATCTGATTTCCATAGTGAGCAGGAGCATTAACACAGAGGTATTTCAGGCAGATTTGTGAGGGATTTTGAGGCATTAACATTAACAGGCATCTTTCACTGAGAGTAAAAAATTGTTAACTCTCCATGTGAACGAGAGTTCCCTGAAGTTGTCACAGATAATTTTTCCACTGCAGCTGCAACCTTATGTTAATGTATAATCCCTACGTCTTTGTTTTCATCATCCTCTGGCACACAAGGGTAGCAAGTGAACTATTTTCTGAGAAGTTGCCCCTTTATGTTTCCAGCAGAGCAGCCACACTGTGGACAAGTGTTTGAAACATGCTGCCAACACTTTCTCTTAGTTACGCAAATGACCGACAAAGAAGGCATCCCTGACAGTGAATCTGTCTGAACTGGGCACAAAGAAGAATTTAAAGAGTAAAATAATGTAAAACCCAGAAGGCCAAGAGCGGCCTGCTGATGCACATATAGCAAGAGGATCAGAGAGTCCCTGAGCACACACTCTCCCTGTCCAAAGGTCAGGATTCTTGAACGAAGAAAAAAGGAGGCTGGCTAACTGACAGGAGCAGAGTTTGGTGATATAGCACTTCCCAAGGCTGCAAAATATATAAGACAAAGGCCCCTTTTTTTCACTAACTGTGATGGAGTTAGAGCACTGTCAGTCAGCGAGAACAGCTTCGAGGGCTCTGTTAAATCACACAAGTTGGAATATTATAAAGCAAAAGGACAACCTAACCTATTAAAGTCTAATCATGTAAACATGATCGTCACTGCACCACATTCCCAGTGAATCAGGTTCAACAGTATGGCACTAAAACCTGTCACATCCACGGGTGAGATGTGGGCAATTTCCTGCAGGAGGAGATTAACCCTAAATTACACCGAGGGACAGAGGAAGGAAGAAAGAAAGGAAGAAAGAAAAGCACACCACTTGTTTCCCCAGTGAAATTACTCTCAGTAGAAGTAAATACACTGATTAAGGCTGCAGCAGCCCCGGAGAGAAAATATCACATTGGCAGTTAATAAATATACAAGCAGGAGACATTTAGGTTTGAGCATTTGTTCTGCTATTTTGACAAGTACTGTTACTGTTTTTCCAACACGTGAAACATGATAATAACACCACAGCGTACAATTAAATACAAGAAATGGATGCAAGGAGAAAAATCTGCAAACAAATAAGCATGAACAAATAAATTTAAAAGGCATAACATCACAGATGCTAAGATGATCACTAAGATGGAAACTGTGTATAATGCAGAACACACAAAGATGGGAGGTGATTCTCGGCTGTGGGGACACAAACAACTCTCATGTGGAATGTCACAGATGATCAGAAGATATGATACTGTATAGTGAGCCAAAAATCAAATTTGAAAACTATTTTCCAATTTCCTATATTGTCATTACACCTTATACTGCATTCATGCAATATTAACAAAATGGGAAAACTGGAAAACCTCCAGTTATTGTGACTGTATTTACACGTTAGCCCAAGCTGCTAGCCCCAATGTTAGCCTGGTTTACAGAGTGTAGTATTTGTATTTATTCAGTATTTGTTGTGTGAAACCAGATACATTAAACTAGTAGCCGATTTGTGAGTAAGTATCTCATTCACTGGAGCTGCAATGCTGATCGGAATGCACAGATTTGATTGGCTGAGTAGCGTCACAGGAGATGATTTAACTTGTGTAATTGGTCTGTGAGTTTCTTGGTCACTCAACCAAAGCTACAAATTCTGCGTCACTAAGCGCTTCGTTAAAACTGAACAACTGTCAATAATTTATCAGTAATAGGTCTGGGTCCAGGCCTGGGGATGAAGAAGGATGGCAGGTTAACAAGGGGGTTGGTGTCCCCCATTGTCCCATCTCAAATCGCCTACTGCATACAAGTTGTGTGTAGCTCATTCAAATCCAGCCAAATAAACTGCAATCAAAATGCCCTGTCCGTCTTTGCATTGCATGCTCTGTTGCCTCTTAGTGAACCGATGTCAAAGGGAAAAAGCTAACTGAAAAGTAGTGCACTGAGCTGACGATACCAAACTATCCAACCCAGTCTCACTCTGAAGTTGTTGAAATTTGGTGCCTTGGCAGTGACTTGCGGCGTCAGACACTGACGAAAAAAGCCGTTCTTTAACGTCGGCATGATACAGCGGTTGTCGTTATAGTCAAACGGTGCTCGGCGGCATCAAGTGGAAACATGGTGGGAAAAAAACGAAAGTTAAGGCGGCAAAAGTCCAAGTAGGGCGGGCAGGAGGGATGGCGGATGGGTCCAACAAGCACCGACCTGACACAACGTCCCAGAACATCAGCAACCAACGCACCCAGGGTACCGTTCATGTCGTATCTGGACGTGGAAGATCCATGACCAAATGTCGATATGTGACGAGGTTGGAGGGAGAATGTGTTTAACTATCTGAGAGGTGATGAGAGGAAGAATGTTGGATTTAACACCATAGATGTGGATAACGCGCATAAAGGAAAAGGTTGGTCTACTGACTTTGCAAACTTGTCACTCCAGTGAGGCAGCAGAGGGACGGCAAATGAATAAAACAAGGTCACGTCTACAATGTTTTGAACAATACTTAATCAAATTTAGGCTAATGGATTTAGATTTTCTGAGGAAGTGACAGTTCTAGTTTGTTCCTCCGTACTTGTTTTGGCTAAGTGGAAGATATTGGAGCTGTCAGATATTCCAGATATCACCAACCTGGAATTACAACTACGAGTCTGACATCAATGGTTTCTCCCACTTGGCTGCTCATAAAATCAATCCGAACAGTATCACGTGAATGCAGAACAGTTAAGGTAATGACGAGTCACGCTCTGGATTAAGAGCCAGAAAGGCAAATCAATAAATTGTATGCATGTTCGAGTTGTAAGTGCCGCCCACATTACTTTCCTTAGTTTACTTATCCATGGAATAACTTTCAACAGAGGATATTAAGTCAAACTCCAGTGAAAAAAAATAAAGTTAACAGCTTGTGATATGAAAAAAAAAAAAAAATCTGATGATAACCAAAGTTACACATTCACATCCACTAGAAACTAAGCGTGAACCATTTTCATAGTTAGTGCATGAGATAAAGGTCCTAAAAAGTTCTCCCTCCATTTGTGTGTTTGTGTTTTACTGTGTGTCCCTTTCTGTGGCAGCATGTGGCGACAATTGCAATATATATATTTATATACATTTATATATACGTATGTGTGTATTCCTCCATTGTTCATACTCTGTATGTTTCTTCATAAAGACCTGAGAGAAAGGCCAAAATCAGGGTTGAGGTAGGTTACCATGATGCATCAGAGCAAGTCCTGTACAGTATTTGACGACACAGAGAGGAGAGCTGGAGAGAGAAGCCCTGTGATCGTAGAGCCACCCAACGACCGTCTATCTCCCTCAGCCAGCTCTCTGCACGTGGCTGTCAACAACCAGCTATATTATAAACACGGCGTTCCTGAAGCACTTTGACTAGTCAGTGTCGTCAGGAGGGAGAATGCTAAGCAGCAGTTGTGGGTTTGGGAAGAGAGTAACAATAGTCAAGCATGATCAGCAACTGTCATGTCTCCTGGGCACCGTAAGTCTGAAGGCTACTACTTTTGTTCAAAAAGGAGGCAGATAATGTGATGTGGAAAAAATATTACTAAGAGTACTGCAGCAACAAATATCCAGAGAGAGGTTAGAAATACACTGCTGCTTATTTAAACCAAAAGAATAGTTCTTTTAGCTCATTTGCTGTTGGGTGAAAAGTTAGAGAAGAATGTTACCACTCTGTCAACTATCTCTGAAAAGTTGCGAGGCAACTGGTAGAGACTTCACGAAGCTACTGCTCACTGTCATAAATGTATAAAGAGAACTGGATGCAGGGCCCATTCATTCCTGTGAAAGTTGCTCAGTGGCACTTGAAGCCAAAAAAAGCCTGCATGGGTACATAATTACCCGCGCATTACAGATTCTCACAAGCTGAGCGGAAAACTTCTGGTGTAGCGCTCTGCTAACTTGAATGGGAAGCAAATTGTGCTGTTCTTATAGACTTTAGAAATCTTATTGGACTGAATGGATCAAATCCCAAAAGTGAAATGATTCATTTTGAAGGGATTGTGATGCTCAAAAAAATTATCCACTAATTTACAGATGTCTTTTTCACCATTATGTTTATGGGAAAAGATCTTTTTGGGCCTAATGGCATCACGGACCTGGACATCGTAATTTCACTGTTTGGCCACTAAAAAAATCAGCTTCGAAGCCTGGCGCAATTCCTGAGGGCCTGAGAAATAGTCCATAACAAGATCCCCAATAAAACAGCCAATTGGTGAAACTGTTTTTTGAATGGGTTAAACAAACAAGATAAATAATATATTATTTAGTGTGCTATAGATGAGCTGGGGGCTAGAGGTCTTTATGCTAAGCTAAGCTAGGCTAACCATCTGGTGGCCATAGATCATATTAACTGTACAAACTCGAGAGTTGAATCAATCTTCTAATCGAGCTTTCCACCACAACGAAACCAATCATGTTTCCCGACATGTCAAACTATTCCTTTAGGTATGAGGCTAGAGCTGTTAGAGCTAGTTAGCTTAGCTTACCATAAAGACTTGAAGCAGGTGAAAACAGCTAGCCTGGCTTTATCTTAAGTCCAAAGATACGCACAACAGCACCTCTACCCAGGGTTGAAAATGAACTCCACCTGACATTGTGACTGGTGGATACAAAAACCTATCAGTCATTTGCATTTTTTTAAGCATTTGGCTGGTGGCTGGTGCTAATTTCCAACCCTGGAAACTGTGTTGAAAAATTAAAAAGTTACATCTTAGCTGGTTAATTTGTGCATGCTAACAGTTATAGCATCATAGCTAGTAGTAAGAGTGATAACATCTAACTGTCAGCAAGTAGGCTAACGAGCAAATTTCCCAAAATGTCAAACTATTCTTTTAAGTCATTACACTAACAACAGTGAAATTAAATTTTGGGGAATTTTGATAAATTGTTTAACAAACATCATATAGGTGTGGAAACATTCATTCAATCAATAAAACATAATCTACACAGACACACACAGAATTCAATCATACAATAATTTTAGGCACATATCTGATGTCTGTAAGTCATATTATTTGGTCCAATTAAAAACTGTGTATCCCGTCTCGAGCAGTAAATAGTCCTGAACATATCATAAGCAGTGCAGTGTATCTCTAACGCTCTTTTCATTCAACTTAAGAAAAAAATATGATGTTTTGAACGAGATAAAATCTAAAAAAAAAAAAAAGGGCTCACAATGGAACATCATAATTCATACATCATCCTAACATACTGTAATTCATACAACAGTGTTATCAGTCTGTCAACTTGCATGAGGTACTGACATTGAATCTACAAACACCATATTCATCAACAGAGGGAAGCTGGGATTTCACAGAGGAGGGAAAAGAGGGTTTTTCATTATGCAATAAACAGACAAACAACAACAACAACAGCGACAACATTAACATTGTTATCTTGAGGTAGAACATTAACTTCAGCATTTGGAAGTGCTTTATGTTGGATACTCGTTTCTTTTTCTTTTTTCGTTTTGCTTTGAAAAGCAGGAGAAGAGAGACGATTCTTGACATCTGAGGTAGTGCGGCACCTGATCTTGTAATTTTCAAACCAATCAGTTCCTCCGCATGTAAAGTAATTGTGAGCACAGGGGAAGGTAAAGTCCCTAAAAGCTTCCCGCAACACATTCATTCCGGCTGAGGTAGGTTTTTGTTGAATCGTAAGGTTCACACAGCCAAGTCTAGTGCCTGTATGAAGGCCGAGAACTCATAAAAAAATGTTGATATCACTGAAACAAAGTCCTGAGACAGAAGGCTGAGGTCTTCTGTGAGCGAGAAGGTGGAATCATTGGTAGGTGAGAGCAGGCAGCAGGAGTCTTTGACATCCACAGAAAAGTAGAGATAAGACCAATAACTTATAACCACTTCGACATACAGCATAGTTGATAAAGATATATATGTATATATATATTTATAAACTTAAAAATAAAATCATCATTGTATAACAAGGACATTATGGGGCCTCTATTCTGTGTGCTGCCCAACACCAGAAAATTAACAAAAGACCAAATTGTAAAAATAAGGAGTGTTTAACTGGCCTGGCTGGAGACAGCTGTCTGTCAGAAGAGAGCTCTCCCAAACCTCAGGCCCCAAACACTCCGATATACGGTCCTAGATCCTCTAGAACTCCTTAACTTAAAAAAAAAAAAAAAAATCTTTGCACAAAAGGAAAAACTACTTTGAAAGGAAACACTTGTCAACCTGAGTGAGAGAAGAGTCTAAGTGGACACTGTGGACACTGTGGACAGTGTCGTGTGAATTGGCCTTCATACATGATCAGCCTTGGTCCTGCCGACCCGCTCCTGCTGCAGGAGGCTCCTGGAACTGCGTCTCCCGCTCCAGCGCAAACTCATCCAGTGGTATTGTAGAGAGCTGGGTGTCGTTCAGCGCGTAGGAGTCAGACTGAAAACACATGCATAATTGAAGCCCGTTAGCTAGAGAGTACATTGAATTCATTCATTTGTGTGAAGAGATAGTAGTGACGGACAGGAAACATGAGATGGGAGGAGATGGCCAGATATCTGCAGGTTTTCCAGCCACCAGGATGCCGTGCCTCTTTTCTATGTAAAAAACAATGGTCTAAATTCCCTTACTGCTTCACCTTGATGAATTTTTGTGTGCTTTTATCTCACACATGAAAAGCTGTATCTTCAGCTGACAACTGTTTTATTGTGTTGATGTTTTCTACAGTTCTGTTTTGCTGGGGATAATTTTCTTTCTAATGTTAACCTAATGAAGCTCAGCATACATCCAATCGGGCAGACTACATTTATGTTTCATTCAGCCACAGTTCGTTTTCTATCTCACTCCTCCCGCACCCTCTTCATAGACTCCATGGGGGTGTGTGTGTGGAGGGAGGTTCTACTGCTGCTTCAACCCCGTTGGTGTTTGAAGATGTTGTGATTTGTACAACACTCATTATACAGGTTATTGTGATGAGGTGGCCTCTGCTCCTCAGAGTTGATCTCATCTAGCTGACTGATTCATCACACCTGGTAGTAATGTGTCTGTGTCTATATCTGTTCTGTGAAGCACTTGTGTCAGTAGTACTGATGATAGTTATGGACTGAAACGTCTGCTGCTACCTTTTTTGGGGCTGTCCAGTCCAGTTGTATTGGTGTGCAGGTATCTCTTGTCCTTTCATGATACCACTGTACTCATGACAGTAACTTTTGAGATATCAGACCGTAGCGACATTGCTCAGAGTCCAGCAGGATATGAAACACGAATGATGAGACAATCGTAACTTTTAAAAAACACAGACTAGCTACCACTTTAGCTGAGGTAAAACTAAAAGTAAGCATACTTGTGATGTTGTTAATAACTTCTAAACAGGAAAACCATCAGCGTACACAATTACGGCAACTAGGGTAGGTCAAACTTAAGCCAGGAGATTGGGCTTTGAGCTGTGGAGAATGTTTACAGCAGAAAGTGTGGGCTGTAATTTTCCCTCCAGAGCTACAAAAAATATAACTCAAGTTATAACAAACTGTATCTTTCCTTTGAAACATTTCACATTTAACACAAAATGGCTTTAAGTTCACCTTCTCATTATCAGAACTCACCATGCATGTATCTTGTGTGGTGGGTTGAGTAAAAAGTCTCTCCAGTTCGTTGCTGTCGGCCACTTTCTTCCCCACTGCGCTGCCATTGACCTCCATCTCTCTCCTGGCAGCCCCGTTCAGCCCTGAGGCCCCCTGGGAAGAGGAAGAGGATTCCAGCACTGCGCTGTGTCCCGCCTGAGGGGTGGCCTGAACTGTCTTACACATCATTAACCTGAGGATTACATGAAAGCACACACACATTAAACTATTGTCAGCTGCACACACACACACACAGTAGACCGACATTAACCTCCAACAGCAATTATTGGCAAGATGTTTCCATTGGTACCTTTTGTTGCTGTTGTGGTTTCTGTTGCTGTTTACACATCATGTTTGCACTGACCTGCCACGGTAGCTGAATACGAGGAAGAGCACACAGAAGATGATGCAGGTGACTCCGATGTGAATGCCGATTATGATGCCTGTCGTGGATGTTTTGCTCTGCTCGTCTTTCACACAGTCGCACGGGATGTCCAACACTGAGGGGATACAGAACAGCTCACAGTCAAACCATGTTAACCAATGTTTGTGTTAACAAGGCTACGTCAGGGAGGTGTGACACGTGTGTGTGTGTGACTGTGACGATTATCTTGACTTTGCTAAAGACAGAAGATGACATGAGACTCAGTGAGGTGCATTAAACCTGGATGCACTGGTGGTGATGTGGGACTGTGTAGCTACGTATGGTTGCGTTTGGTTGTGTCAGACAATCACCAGATTTCTCCACCGCCTCTCGAAGTGAAACAAATCGCAGGGTGGCGTTGCCGTCGCCGTATTGGTTGTGTGCGAGCAGCTTTATCTCATAGACCAGTGAAGGATCTATACAAATAGGTAAGAGAGAGAGAGAGAGATGTTCAGACAGTGAGTAACCCTGCAAAGAGTGCAGATATTTAATCCTTTTCCTTGCTGAAATTAAGAGCAGGAAGCTTCATAAATAACTCATCAGTCACTCCCTGAGGAGTGTTTTTAAGTTCTCGTTTAATCTTCATCATCATCCAGTGCGGAGAGACTGTGAGATACTTGTTTATGAACACATTATTAAATATGTCTTCTGTAATGAAGACTATATGATGATTGAGATTATAGAAACAGCTCAAAAACAGATCATATTTGCTATGACACACTAAGCTGCAGTCCTAAGACACTAAACGTCTCACCCAGCTGAGTGATGTTGTACTGGGTGACGTTGCGAGGGAAGCTGATGGGACCAGTAAACAGCGGCGTGTGGGCTCTCCTGTAATACAGTCTGAAGCCTTGGTGCTGGCCCATCTTGGAGGAAGGTTCCCATGTTGCTTGTATAACACTGCTGTTCACCACCTTGGTGTAGAGGGACGGCGGCGCTGGCACTGCAACACAACACAGACTGATGAGCTTCATATCCACTGCATGGTCATGATGCGGCTCGAATTGGAACCACTCTTTTTTGGTATTCCTTTGGCAAAAGTTGCGGATTGTACCTGGTACTTCTTTGAAACTCAGTTGAGATTCAAAGCGAGCTGAGCTGATACTAGAAGGTGAAGTTAAAACACTGCAGACCACTGATCAGTCAGAAAGACACACCACAAGCATGACATCCTGCACAAACCCGCCATTTTTTAAAAAGTCGAACCACCCTTTTCTATTTACTCAACCAAGATTTTTTTTAAAACGGCAGCAGTTTCACGCAGCGTCGCCATGATAGTCAGCTTTGAGTCCTTACATTGTCAGGGTGCTATCTGTGGCGGAAAACAAAATTAAAAAAACACCTTGTATCAAAAGTGAAACAAGCTGAGTCGAATCTAACTGAACTAAGCAGTGAAAATTAAGCAATTGTAGCAACACTTAGAGCTTTTATTTTGTATCACCGGAGTGTGAATTATGGCACGTTATGTGTAAAAGCTTCATATCAGCAGTTTAAACGCTCCTAATCTTGCATGTTTTCACTCTCAGGAAACACTAAATAGCTCTGCTGCAAACCTCCATGCATGTTTATTACTGATGAAAAATGCTTTTTGAGTGTGTGTGTGTGTGTTTGTGTGTGTTCTGCTTCCAGCTCACCCTCCCCATGCGTGCTCTCGGTGACACTGTCTGATGGTTTGCTGGCCCCGTGGGATGTGTAGGCCTTGACGTAGAAGGTGTAACTGGTTGAGGGCTCCAGGTCCCTGATGATCTGCTGCAGCGTCACCTTACTCACGGCCTCCTCATACTCCATCTCCACTGGGTCTGAAGGAGGAGAGATGGGGGAGGACGAGATGGAGGAACAGAAAGAGGAGGAGAGATTAGAAAAGAGTGTGAGAAAGAGAGACATAAACAGAAGAAGAAAAGCAGGAGGAGGCATTAAAGTGATGGAAACCGGGATCAGGAGAGGAAACAATAAGTACAATCTGTTTCTGTCATCATTTTATGGTTATTGCCCATTTCACTGGTTTTATCAGAGCAGCTCTGTTAGGTAATAGCTAATCTAGTTTGGCCCTGGGAGCCTGAATGATAGTTGGCTGAATTGCAGGGGTGGAGTGAAGAGATGGAGGGGGTAAAAGGGGGAGTTACAAAGGAGGTGTTAACGCATTTTATTGCCCTCAATCCGGAGACAACCAACCATAACCACTATCTACCTCCAGCCCTCCAACCATAGGGCCATACCATCTTGGAAGGGTAATTACAGCAGATCCTATTGGTTGGCCCCGGGGGCCCTTAATTATCCATCTGATAAAACTACTGAGGAGAACAGCAGCTGGCACTACGAGACCCTCACCACACACAAAAACACACACACACACACTCAACCATACACTTGCCGAAACACACACTGCATGTGCGTAAACAAGCATGCCCATGTACATGTACGAACACACACACACACACACACACACACACACACACACACAGAGGGAGCATCATACCGATACACCATATCACACCATGTAGTCTACGCATACAGATCAAAAGGCAAAAAAATCAGATATTAAATGTTTTCGTATCCTTTTTATATCCCTTTGTGGGGACTTGTTCTGTAGCACCAAACACACTATCACGTGCATTTCCCTTCTGCTTGATCGAACGTACTGTAAGTAGCTTTGGATAAAAGCATCTGCCACATGAAAGAAGTATATATGTGATGGGAAATACTAAAAATGGTGCTTTTATTATAGTTTCCTCAATCTGCAACTGACACTGGTGATGGAGTCGCAATCTGGGACCCGTTTCATCGCATATGCAATATGAAAACTGCGACTTGCAAATTGAGATCATTTCCTCACATGTTCGTTTTGACACATTTAATTAATCACAAGGAACAGCACACTAAGCATGTGAGAAAAGAGTGACAAAGAGATGCTGGCACCATTTGTGATCTGCGTGCTCGCAAATTGTTTTTGTGAAAGGGGCCCCTCGCTGTCAATGTCAGAGCCGTCTGTCTTCATCACTTCAGTCTAACAACTAATTTACATGATCAAATTTTATGCTAACTTATTTTTATGTAATCGATTGGATATCACTTCGGTGCAGACCCACCTGAGGTCCTGCGGATGTGGAGCACGTAACCGATGATGTCCTGAGTGTTCTGATCCGGCTCCTTCCAGGACACCTGGATGTTGGTGGGTGAGAGGGCCTCGGCCTGCACGTTGGTGGGCACACCGGGCAGTCCATCGGCCCAGAGCACTGTGAGGCGGGCGCTGGCCTGTGTGGAGCCGGCACTGTTCTCAGCAATGCACTGGTAGATAGCCTCGTCATCCTGGCTAATGCCGTATATCGTCAGTGTGCTGTGAGAGGAGCAGTAAGGAAAGTGGGAAAGAAAAAAGAAAATGGAGATGTTTAGTTTCTCTGACACTGATATGAATCACCGGAGTTGATTGTGTAGGACTGTATGTGAGAAGATTAAAGTCCAGAAGGTCACTTCTACTGTTGAATAGCTGTTAAGTAAAAGTAATCACTGTTAAATGTTTCACTTAAGGTAAAGCACTTGCAGTAAAGTAAACCAAAATAGTAGCAGAAAGTACTTATTATATCACAGTGTTGAATTATTGTTGCACACTTAAATAATGATTATTTGACACACTAACTTGCCTCTGTTAGAAACACCTTGCATTTAAGCGGGTGATAATTATGCCCAAGTGATTCTCTGCCTTAAATTGTAACAGGTATTTTAATGTATAACAATAAAGCACTTGTTGTTGTCGTACAATCACAGCAACAACGACATCATGTTACACACAGAACTAATTTTTAATCTGCATCTGGATCCATATCTGCCCCAAAATACACACATCAGATAGATAGATATAAATAAATCATAATAATAACTGAACAACTGTTTTCAGGCTCATCCAGATGTGTTATGCACCTATTTCGGTGAACATAAAGTGAAATGTGAAGTTAAACTGCTAAAAAGCTGATAAATGCAAGAATGGAAATACAATGCAAAACGTTGTAAATCTGTCATCAGAAAAAGCCCATACCAATAGATTTGTCTTCAGGGAAAGGTAAAACTACAGTATATGCCTCATGTTTCAGAGTTAGAGACGTATTTAACTGCTGGAAAGATGTGCTTTTAAAAAAACTGGGCTGTCTGTGTGGTGGAGAGCCGCAAATACTGTTGAAATTGGTGCTATATGATCAGAGAAAACAGGGCTGTGGCATTCACTTTTTATCAAGAGGTAGAAAACCTACCATTACCAGAATGCACTGCACTCCGCCAGACCAATAAATGCTGCTACTGATGGATGACATATTGCGAGCTTGTCTGTTTTGACACAGGAAACAATATAGCGACAAGCTGGTGGCAAACGATCTCCAATTACAGTCAAACAGTGCACTAAAATATGTTTCTGAGAACATCTGAGGCAAAAACAGACAAAGCAGTGACAGAATCTTGGTCCATATTTTCTTGAAGCTGCTAAGTTTTACTGTTTGATCTTAGCTTTGTCAGCTGTTTTTACAATACAGGAAACAGTATGGCACCACTTCTTGCTCACAAGTTTTCTTATTACAGCCAAACAGTGCACTAAAATGCTCCCAAAGACATTTTAGGTGAGAAACAGGCAATACAATAACAGGTTCATATCTGATCAGCACTGCCAAGTTTTGCAGTTTAATCTGAGTTTGTGATAGGAGGAGAGGGGTGCGTCTCTTTTTCTTAATCGTGGTGGCAGGCATATGAAAATGTGGAGGTGCAATCTGTAATTTAAGTAACAGGCCTAGAGCCAGCGAAAATCCTGGATGACTCAGAATATGTCATCAGGCGGATTTGAGCTGAGAGATTGAGCAGGGAGAGAGGTTTACCACAAATCATTTACACACACTACCCACATTGTTTTGACACAAAGCTGGTTGAAAATTGGCAAAGTATCCCTTTAAGTGATCACATGGTGACCCTAATCTCATCAAAAACAAGCTAAAACCTGTCCTTACTAGTTTTTGAAATATTCGGCAACCACCAAAACTGCTTCCTCTTTGATGAAAATAACTTTTTTATTTAAAATAAAGTGAAAAATAAAACAACAAACATTTTTACTGAAAGTATGAAGTCTTCCAGAAGATGAACACACTGTTTCTCCATACCTCAGATAAGGACTGCATAAAGTAAGGAAGATGAATGTGACAGTATGTCAAGAGGTACAGTGTTGAGCTGTGTGTGTTTGAGTGAATGAAAGAAAGAACACAATACAGACAGCAGCGGCCTGTAAAGAAGATCGTCACTCATGCATAGCGCAGACTTTCAAACTGATTCGTCTTCTTCTGGAACTCCCGTTGGAGTAGATCATTCTATTTCAGCGCTTCAAAAAAAAAAAAAAGTAATTTGCCTACATCAGTGAAACCTTTCATCTGTCCACGCACACGGATGCACTCACCTCATCACTCATACCTATACACACTCAGAACCTCCCACACTCAATGCCTTCACTCTATATTCTCTTTCTTCCGATCCATCGCTCTTCACTATCCTACCTGCACCACTCTGCTCTTTGTCTTTTTACTGTATCCCCGCTTCTTCTTCCCTCCCACGTGGTCTCTTTTCTGTTATAGAAGAAATATAAGCACTGTGTGTGCATGCCTTGTGTGTGTGCGTGTGTACGTGCGCATGCTGAGTAGGTGTTATAATGCGAGAATAAATAATCCACTTCTTTCATTTGTCCCGAGGCAAAAGAAAGAGCATTCAAAAGCACATGCCCCGTGCACAGCTCTGTCGGTCCTTATAACTTGGTGCAGGTGATGACAGGAAACATTAGATTGCTAGCAAATACATAGATGCATCGCACACAAGGGGGGTAAACTGCTTTGTCTTTTAATCTAATCTTCAATTGAAATGTTACCAACAACATGTTTGCCAATGGCTTCATCAGGTTTGCTTTACAATGCGCAGGTGCATTATGTGCTGAGTAGACTCCATATATGGACGTGTCTACATGCCTATAATTTGAAAATACCACATAGTGTATAAACAATTAGACACTATGCATTACATACACATCACAATGGATAGGTTTCAATAACAAAACATCTTTGAAATAAAACATTTAACAAACAATATGGAAATGAGACCCTGTGGCACAAAACACTTCTTCATGCCATTTTCATACCAAGGCCATTTCTGCTGTATTTAAGGTATAATACGCGCTGGAGAGAAAGTGAGGATGCACGAATAATGAACACCTTGGGAATATGGCAGGGCTTGATTTGTAGCTATGTCCATTTTCTCTACCTCAAGCTCTTGGTCATGGCATTTCAAGAGATCAGAAGCATTTTTTCAAATAAAGGGAAGAAAGCCCTCCGGCTTCTGGCTCTCATGCTGTGCTTTAAGTTGAAACAGTAGAATTGAATGCCACAGGAGTTCAACATATCTCGCAGCATCCCGCCTAATCTGTCACTTGCAGTTTGTAAGAACCTGTCGAACAGACTGTCATCTTTCTTTGACGGGCAGGTCGGCTGCTCGGTGTATTAAATCAGAATTTATTAAGAAATGCCAGGACGATCCCGTGAGAAAAAGCATGCCATTTATCGAAAGAACAACATTTCAGCCGTGCGCGATGTGCGTGGTCTGTCACTGGCCACCTCCTGGACCTGTGAAATGAGACATGAGGAAAGTGGCATTTCGGCTCTCTCGACGGACGGCGCTGAAGTCGTACCAGCCTCAGAGTGGTTTGTGAGAATGGATTTGTAAGGACGGGGGAGTGCTCTTCTGGGTCAGCGGGCAGGATGGAGAAGTGAATCATTCCATTTCCTTTTCAAAATTGATGTGCCAGGATACAATTACTGTACGTCTCTAATCTGGGTCAGAATAGGCTTCGAGGTGGAAGAGTTATTATTCTCTCCGGTCTGCCAGGTGGATTCAATCTGGATAATTATCAGGTCAAAGAGGCCCACTGTATTTCACCCTCTCTAAGACAATCTCACCTCTGACCCCCGAGGTGGCAGCAGTCGCCAGCCCTGGGCTCGCTACTCAACCATCACATTTTCTGACAGCCTTTCATATCAGTGATGGATGGAGTGTTTGCAGACAGACAGCTTTGACCAGACGCCACAGACGCAGCAAAGAGGCCCCCAGGGACGCACTGCCCTGATGCCACTGGGCCTGGATGGGCCCCTGAGTGTGTGAGGGGAATGCGGGGAAATTCCACAAGACGTTGCTTGTTTCAGAAGGTACAGTAGCGTCCAACCGCATGTATGCTAGCTCACACACACACGTATACATGCCTCGCCACATGCACACGAACTGATCCTGCTTATGAAATTCCACACCTGCAGTCAAAACCTTCTTCCCAACTTTCAGAATGAAAGCTTCAGTGGTTTCAATAAGTCTTCGAAATGATCTTATATAAATATTCCTTTAGTACAGTAATGGCTGCATATTAATGAACGAGCAATTTACAGTAAGTTGCTTTGTCTAAAATTTGAGATTAACAGTGTTTTCTTTTTGTACTCAAGATTCTGTGTCTTGACCTCATCTTTGGTGAGCAGATCCAGGTGTTTTTGGACATTTTACAGTTATCATTTGGTGAATAAGGAAACATAGAAATCTCTGTCTATCTTTCTCTGTGTCCTGCGCGTATCTAGGGAACCATTTATCCGATCTACTTCACACTTGGCGGGTGTATTGCTGGGATTCAAAGATTTGCATTGTTGAATGACACATTCAGTATTAATAAACTTTGAATAAACAAGCGAACAGTGCTTTGTGGCTCTGTGTAGTGGCGGGAGGAACGGGGCTTAAGGGCTCTGCATAGTCCAGCATGTCTTCTCAACAAATGAAGACACAGGGGATGTTACGCTGTAGCAAACTCAAACATTTCAAGCATCAGCAAACTTTCAGAATGAACAAATGCTTCCCGGACCCAAGGAAGTGCAGGGTCGAATGTGAAGCTGTTTGGATGTGCGGTTGGTAACGCTCTCCTGCCTGCTTGCACATGGCGAGACAAGAGGGAGAGATGCTGTAGTGGCGTCAGATTATTCTGAGCAGCAAATCTCAAAAAAGGTCTAAAAAGTTCACCGTGTGTGCCTGTTTGTGTGAGCTATACCTGCTATTTTAATCCACGCTCTACTTTATAACCGTGGTGGTGCATACTGAGTTGAGCATGTCATCACCTTCTTACATTGTGTACATTAGCTATACTAAACTATGATGCTAATAACATTCAATGTAGAGCTTTCAGTTATGATATACATGTAATGCTGGATAGTTTAATGATTAATGATGCATCATATTTTAATTGTTATATTTTGAAAGGAAAATCTGAATCTGCAAAGTGACATTTCTCTGTCAGGT